CAGTTGGGGCGGGGAGGGGGGCTTGAGGAAAGAGTTGTCCTGATGCAAACAAGATGTGCAAATGACATTAATTAAAAACTCCACTTCCCTTGGGGTAGCCTCTTTGTGTTTCAGAGATGACAGAAAAGGAAAAAAAAAACCTTATGTGTGTCTGGTTCAACCAAATGGCGGAAGCTGCAGAAGGTTCTGGGTCGCAGGCGAGCCCAAGGCTGCAAATCCACACGACTGGCTGTGTAATGCAGCTTCGGAGAGGGACAGCCAGGAGCGAAATGTTAATCAGAGCTTCAGGAGAGCCTCAGACATCCCAGACTTTGTGTCACTCCGGCACCTCATCAAACAGGAAATTGCTTTTCCAGGGTCATCTGGGATCTCTGCACAAATCAGCGCGTCGTCAGCATCATAATGGTAACCGAAATCGTGCCTTTGCACGGGTGCCTGAGGGGCACCTCTGCACCCTGTGAGCAAAACACTCAAGGTGAAACCAACAGCGTTTCCAACAGCATTTTAGTTTCCTGATGAAAAGACATAGGAGAAGTAAAATTCCGGCTCTTCCTTTCCCTGCAGTGAACAACGTGCCGATGACACCTCTCGTGCATAGGCTTGCATCCCTCTTTGCAGCTCAGCCCCTACGCAAGTCTGGGATTTGGGGAGGCTCCAGTGTGTGACAAAACACGAGCCACGCTTCTGTGCCTGCAGTCCCCCAGCAAGATGTGTCTTAACGCCATTGCTGATAAAGATGCCTGGGAGCAAGGTGATGGGCCTGGGGGTCAATGGTTATGGCAGCACAGAGTGTTTCCAAGGTGCAGGTGAGCTCAGTATGTCCGTGGGCTGGAGCAGCACCCCGGGCAGCTCCTACAGCCCCATGAGCCACCTGAGACCTCTGGCCACTCCTTCCTCCCTGAGCTGTCTCCTGCCTGGCCTGTAACAAGAAGGGTCCTGTATCTCCATCTCGTAGTGGACCCCACTGTGCTCCCCAGTTATCTCCGTTTTGCCCGCTGAGCCAGTGAGTCTGTTAAGCCACAGCTCTGTCTTCATCTTCATCTTCATCTCTGACACAAACTGTGCCACCAGTGTGTCTTATTAGCAAGACTGTCACATCAGCAAAGGTACACCGTGGCGTGAGCTTGTTGGGGGAAAGCACGGAGAACTAAAACCTGAGGAGGTATGCCTTGTACATTGGGCTTCTTGGAGCAACCTGTTAACGGGAGAAGGCTAGCGAGCGTGGTGCAGTACGGCACGATGGAGGCAGTGCCTGTCCGACCTGCCGGGGAGGAATGGTGTGGTGGTTGCTGGCCACTGATTCGTTTTCTCGAGTGCTTGACATCCCCTCAGGCAACGTGGCAGGATTTGAAGCATGTTCCCTAGATTGTTGCAGCTAAGCTAGAAATAATGTATTTATAAGATCAGAGGCAGTTCACTGCTCAAGTTAAGTGCCTTGAAAAGGCTGAGTCACTTGTATAAGGAGGTGAGCTACGCGAGGACCTGGGTTTCCTTTTGAAAACACCTTTTGTTATCGCTGCAGACATTGCTGGTGCTCTGCCCACAGTGGGGCTGCTGCTTGCTGGCTGGCTTTGAGCATACCCATCCTGCCATGGGCTCTGTGGATTGGATTCTATGTTCCTTCCCTTAAAATAATTAACAGAAATCTGGGCACGCTTGAAAAGCATTGAGGGGCAGAAGGTGCTATTGAGATTTGGGAAATCAGGCCTGATCTGAGACTCATTAAAGCTGGTGGTAGTCTGTCTTCTGACTGCAGTGGATCACACAGAGTATTGCTTTTTAGATCTCGCCTTACTCATATTTAAGCCCAGATAGTTAAAAAGGTTTTTCTAGAGGTGCCAATCTCCCTGTTAGGTTAGGTCCTACAGAAGATCAGGGGTTTAGCTTTACCTTCACCCACTGACGGTTCGTGGGTTTGCAGCAGCGTGATGGTTACGTTACAGTGGCTCCTTCAGTAACCTTTGCAGGCGTTATGGGACACAGCGCTGGGAGGGTTCAGGTAGGAATAGATGCCTGGTTCTCCTGCCTGTGCCTCGATGGGTGTTACTTACCCAGTCTGATATTGTCAGTGTACAACATGGGGCAATTTTTTTTGAAATGGATCATAAGTGTAAATGTGTTGGAAGCGTGGAAACCTAACTTCCCTTGCTGAGCTTCACTGCTCTGCCCTGAGCCAGGGAAGCCCCTTAGTTCCTGCAGGTCTTGAATAAGGTCAACAGGTCCCACCAGTGGACAAATCCAGAAGTAATTACCCCAAATCTTAATGTGGATTTTCAGCACTCTAAGCCTAAGGTGACCTGAAAGGCCCTACATCCCTGCCCAGTGCCACCCTGCCTCCCAGCTGTGCCTGAAGTTTGGTATTTGCAGCCGGAGCTGTTTAATTGTCTCTTCCCAGCAGATAATAACATCACTGACTAGTTTCCTAATTTGTGCTGTCCACGTGTACCTCGATTTCTAGGAACTGAAGCTTGCATGAAACCTGATGCAGTGATGAATGCAAGTGGAAGTGGAACTGGTTATGTTAAAAACATTGTTGATATAAAAGATGAGCTGGGATTGAGAGCTGGTACCTCAGGTGGATCCTGTTGTGCGTGGAGTTACGGGTACTGCAATGCTTCGTTACTGTCCTGGTAATAGATTTAGAAGTCACCAACTATTCTCAATTATAAACGTGTTTTCAGGCCATGCCAGCCATAGACCTGAGAGGAGTGGTTATGGGGAAAATCAAACTAAAGGTAATAGTTTAAACTAGATAGGTGATGTTTGAATCACCTTGGATGTGCGACTCTTAGATCTTTACATTGTGCAACCGTTGGGCACAGTGTTTGCTTGACCTCACAAGAGTTGTGACCATTGTGTGTGTACTGGGTCAGGTTTGCATTGGGGAATGGCTTTCTGGTGGAAAGAATTTAAATATTGAACAGAACTGTGGTGTGGGAGTTACCAAAAGTTGATGGAAGAAGGGTGCCTTCTCGGTAAATCAAAAATACCATAGCACTGGGAGAAAGCGCAGGTGGTGAATGTGAGCGTGTGTGCTGTGTTATCACATGCTGCCACATATTGTGACCCAAGAGATGCTGTGACAAAAAGAGTTTAGGGTAAGGAGTCAGGTCTTTATCTCGGGGCTGTGGGGAAGGCTAGGCAGAAGGTGGGCCAGCTTGGGGTCGGCACTGCTGAGTTGGCCCTGGCTCTGGCTCCTGGGGCAGCGGAGTGTGCCCGGGCTGGGGCACATGGGTTTTTAGGATCTGGGATGGAGGTCCACGCTTTCTGCCTGGGGGCTGGGTCGGGATGCTGCTGTACTTGGAGCCTTTGCCCTGCTCCTCGCGTGGTGCTTCCCTCGTCCTTTGCTTGTTAAACGGCGGGGTGACACACAGAGGGCTTGCTTTCCCAGCTCCTGAAACGCGGAGATCTTTGATGTGAAATCAGGCAGCCTATTGCCATATTTTCCACAGAAAGCCAAAAAAAGGATATTGAATTCAACTGAATTGTATTTTATAGCATTGGAGGTGCAGGACTGGCTCAGCTTGCCACCTGCTCCTCTGTGTCTTGCATGTCCCGCTGCCTTCGTCGGGAGTAGTCAACAGGAATGGGAGAGGAGAAGTAGTGCCTCGGGGAAATCTTGTAATACCCTTACGTGATGTCAGTTCACTCGGTGCGGCCGTCTGGCCGGGCAGGAGGGGCTGTGCTGCCCCTGGCAGGGGGACGGGGCTTTTCCCCGAGTGCCTCCTCAGGATCGGTCCGAGCCCTGTGGTTCATCTGTGCACACTGGACGTTGTGCTTTTCTGTGTGCAGCTGAATAGCAGTGAACTGGTTGGGTTTCCCAGCAGCCCCAGCCTCAGTTCCCCAGAGCCGCTGGTAGCTGTGCCGGGGATGGGTACCTCGTGGGCTGGCCTGTTGGCTGATGAGCCTGGTGCTTCGGGTCAGTTCAGGCCGTGGCTGTGCCTCAGAGCTTTTTGCTTTATTGTCTACCATGTTCTTTAGTCTCTTATTTCTGTAATCTAACATTTGGGGCATCATTAAAGATATTTAAGCCTTTTGTTATGATCGCAATACCATAGCAGCTCCTTTTCCTTCCGGGAATGGGCTGTGGCAGCCCGATCTAGGCTTGGTTTTGGACTGTTTGGCTATTTCGGATGAAGACCTAGCTCTGCACTCCTACATGGACCTGGGACGAGGCAGATGGATCGATGCCCTGCCCAGGCTGGCTGGCGTGTCTTCAGTCTCCAGAGTTGTTTCAGTGTGTGTATTTTGCATCTGCAAATAACGGCATCTCGGAGCCAGGTCATGCTAAGGGCGAGAGGTTATTTTAAGCTGTCACATCTGAGAAGCAGTGATGTCAGTTCTCCAGCTCTTCTTAATTACTAGTTTTAAACATCATTAAGTAGAAGGAAAAGAAATAATGGCTGAACAGCTATATTCATGTGAAGCTGTGGCCGTGGTGCAGCCTGATGAACAGCAACGGCATGGCTAAGCTGTGTCATGGCCTCTGGGTCGAACGGAGCCAGATGCCGAGGCAATATCTCCGTTGAACTGCCTTCCTGTGATCCAGGCATGCCACAACCATCTCATGTCTGAGTCCGTGCCTGAACTTCCCAAGTGGCTGGGGGGGGGGGCCCATGTTTTGTACATTAGTGAGGATGTGAGGTTGGTAGGATTGGAACCGTTCGAAATGGAGCGGGTAGAAACTACTGACCTTGTATTCGTTCAGGTAGAAACTACTGACCTTGTCTTCATTCCTCCTTGTAGGTCCTCTTTGCATGACTGCTGAAAAGCTGGTGAAGGATCAGCGATTAAAGAATGACCTTCACCTGGGATAGCATTCTTTTCTTGTTTCTGCTCTGCATGAGGTACCACCAGATGGTTCTTGGTTGCCGTTTAGAGAGTGACTAAAATTTATTTTTCAGGCACTTAGACAAATGGGATGTATTTAACTTCTCTTCCTGCTCTTCCTTTCCCCTCTGAACTTTGTTCTGAATTTCCACGTTCCCTTTTCCCTGCAGAATGAAGTGGAGCTGGGAGAGCTGCTGTTGTCACTGAACTACCTACCCAGTGCAGGAAGACTGAACGTGGACATCATTAGAGCAAAACAGCTTCTTCAGACGGACATGAGCCAAGGTTCAGGTAAAGGGCAGTGTATTTCTCACATTACTCATGCACAGCTTATATGTGCTTTTAAAGCAGATCAGCGGTGAGGCTGCAATTTGTGGGAGACCCAGAGGGATTTGGATGCTCAGTTCCTATTAATACAAGGCTCCGGATATTCGTTTTATATATATAGCCAACAATAACAAATGTATTTGGAACACTTACTCTGAGGTTAAATGGAGAGTGTGAATGCCTTTACCATATTTAAAGTAAAATCTCTGAACCAGGGTGAGGTGAGGGACTAGGAGCTTCTGAATTACCCCCGTGTTGTGTTTGGTAAGGCAGCCTGTTTGTGGCTGTGCTGTGTTTTGCAGATGCTGCGTGCTGCCTGAGTGTTAGTGTTGCGGTGGTTTTGTTTATGATACCTAGCTGCTCTGTGGATGGTGTGAGGTTTTTCCAGTGTCCATGCATTGCTCCCTGCCATTTCTGAGTGTGCTGGCTGGTAATTGCTTCATGCGTATGTCCTCAGGCGTTTCTCCCGTGTTCCCTGCCCCAGCCACTGCTGCTGCCAGAATATTGGCATTTTACAAAAAGAACAGTAGACTTGGTCTCTATCAAGGCTGTCATTAATTGTGGCTTTGGAAGGGAGCGTTTTTAATCTAGCTGCCTGACTTTTGTCTCCACTGCAAATCCCCGGCAGCAACGCAGTGGTACAAGTCCCAGTCATTTCCAAATGCGGTTTTCCAGCAGGGTCCATCCCTGTGGTGCCCAGCCGTCACGAACCGGCGTACCAACTCACGATGCTGGTGACGCAGAGCCTGTGTTTTGTGTTTTCGCCAGATCCCTTTGTGAAAATTCAGCTTGTTCATGGATTAAAGTTAACAAAAACCAAGAAGACCTCCTGCATGCGGGGAACGATAGATCCCTTCTACAATGAGTCCTTCAGCTTCAAGGTTCCACAGGAAGAATTGGAGAACGCCAGCCTAGTGTTCACAGGTAAACGTGGTGGTGTTACCGGCTTAGCAAAGTCGTGGTAGCCTCCGAGGTGAATGAAGAAGCAATTATGGGTTTGCAGAGGAACCTGTGCAGGACAGTGTCTGTCCCAGCAGCCACTCTGCAAGGGGTGACCATCGCTGGGGCCTCCGGGGAAGTTTAATTAGCACTCTGTCCTCTGCAGAAGCTGTTCCCAGCATTGCCACCTGATGGCTGGAGCTGGCTGGGAACGCACCTCATTTGTCCTGTGCTTAATTGGTGCCATTGGGAACACTTAGGAGGAGGAGGAGGAGGTGGTATTAATTGCACTCCTCAGTGGCAACCAACTTGGGCATAAAGTAAAAAATTAGAAGAACAAGAGGGAAGTGTTGAACGATCCCAGAACCTGACCACTGGCAAAGAGAACTTCTGGTACTTGACATAATTTGCCAGTGAGATGATGCAGCTATAGGTGTTTGACACTGACGTCACCTGTTCTGTGAACAGGTTTGTTCCTGCCTTTATTTTTGCAGGGCTGGGACTCTGCCAAGCCCCACGTGGCACGGCTGAGGTAGGCGAAGTCACAGACCATGCAGGCTGTGGGCCAGGAGGAGTCCCAGAGCTAACCTCACTCGAGAGCTGTGTCAGCACTGGAGATGTTGGTTGGGATAGGAATTCTTATTTTTAAACAGTTTCTGAATTTACTATTTTTGTTCTCTAGGCATGGAAGCACTCAGTAGAAATTGGCAAAAGGGCGCACTGCTTGGAGCAGGAGCAGCAGAGCGCAGGGATGAGTCCCCAGCTGTGTTCGCCCACAGGCTGGGCAGCAGCGGTGGGGGTGAACGGAGGCCATGGACCCATGGTGGCCGGTGGGCTTTTCTGCTGTTCCACAGTGTGGAGGTCTTCGGCAGGGCTGCAGGGCTTCCCCTAGGAAGTAGTGGGTTTCCCTCCCGTGCCATGGCTTCCCCCAGCCTGTGTGTGCTGTGGGCTGGGGCACCAGCAGGAGCAGGGTCAGTGGGGCTGGGCGGTGGGACCCATGCTCTTCTGCTGCTCTGGGGTCCCATGCTTCACAAACACCTTTTTTTGGCAACTTTCTGCCAATTACTCACTGTCTTTCGATGAAGAGAAAGGAATCTGCGTCTGAAAGAATGTATTCTGAAGTATTTTTAAATTTTATTTCTTACATGGCAGATACAGGTGTCAAAGCCGGTACAAGGAACCCAATTCCAACCCATTAATTTGTGTCCAACCATGTTATAACAAAAGTGATGCGTATCAGCAATTTAAATTTTGCCCTTCACGCTCAGCAAAAAGTCTATAATTAATCACTGCTTTGCATGCACATCACCCTGACTGTACCTTGCATGTGCAGTGATGAATTTGTTCTTGGAAGCTTCCATCAGGTGATGATCTTGTGACAGGCGTGAAATACTCTTTTCTTTGTTTTCCCCTTTTGCTAATAAAAGAAGAAAAGGCAAACAGAGTAGCAGCTCTGTGCGGTTAGAAGGATGAGGGGAATATACTTCTCACCACAGCTGATGAAGTTAGCGTTAATGAATGGATGTCTAAATATTTTCTTCTGTGCAGATGGATTTGTTCCCAAGTAAGTCAATGGAAAGTTAGCTGATTTATATTCACATGTAGTGCAGTTGGATTTCAGTGGCCTGCTTTTTAAGTGGTGCTTCACTTTCTAAGTGATGTGTTGCTTGTTTTGAAAGTTGCAATAAATAATCCCAGGCCAGAAATGTCACCAGCAGCTCCAAAGCTGGGGAGGAGTGTGCAGAGCTTTTTGGAGGAGCAACGGGGCCAGGTTCTCGTGGTCGCTCTCACACTGAAGGGTGAAGCACGGCTCTGCGGCGGGTGTCGTTGGGCTTCCTGCTTTTGCTGTGGTCGGGACTCGTGTCTCTGAGATACGTGGTTTGTACAGCCAATATATAGCTGGAGCCAGAGGTGTTAGTCACGTTGTTGTGTGTATGGTTTTCTGCTGGTCTGGTGCCTGCACTGCTTCCTGTTGTTAGAGGAGCCAAGACCGTTGAAGCAGCCAAGAGCCCATCTCGTTGCAAGAACCTTTGGATCAGGGCTCCTGCACAGGCATCTGTGGTATCATGGCAGTGAGGTGGTTCAGGGGACGTAGTGGTGGTGAGAAGCTGAGTCATCTGCAGTGCTCACCTAAGCAATGGACGTGCTCCGGCTGCTGGTGGAAGCGTGTCCACAACAGGGAGTGCAGCACCAGTTTCTGCTGGTGTCCATCTATGAGGTTTTAATAAAGTGAGTATCCGCGTGCAGCTTGGCTGAAGTTCTGGGATGGGGATGGTGGTATTCCACATATAGCTGCCTCTTGGCACGTTAGGGTATTGCGCAACTTTAGAGCTTGTAAAGGGCTTTGGGATCTGCTGTTAAAAGAGAATGAAGAGGGAATGGTTGCCAGCATGGAGGAGCTGTACCTCGCAATGTGAGGACCTTTCCGTTATTTTACATCTCTACAAAGCAGGAGCCTACGCCACATTTTTTATCTCTTTTTTTTTGTTTTTAGTCGGGTTTTTTTTTGCTGCAATGGTGGTTCTTTCTGTTGTGTGTTTTGTGGGAGTTGTTTTTTATTTCTTTTTTTTTTTGAATCCACAGCTCTAGTCCATTAGGTCAGTTAATTAAATCTGCTGTTGAGTCAAAGCCCAATTGAAAAGGAAAATAATCCTGCTTGAAGGGTGGGTGATGATGCTTTGAATGGAGAGAGAGCTGTAAAAGCAGTCACGGGAGCCAGAAGTGAGTAGATCTTCAATAATTTAAAGGAACCTTTTTTGTGGCTTCATATTTTGGACCCAGTGTGCAGCTGTCTTTACATTGGCTTAGCTTCACTGGAAAGCAGTGGAGTCGTGCCAGTCCCTATCAGCTGAGGCTGCTGGCTGCCTCTGCGTGGCTGGTACCATGCTGCAAAGGAAGGCACTATCTAGACAAAGATTAAATTTCTTTTTCCCCTGTGTATTTCTCTCCTGTGCATCTTGAATCAAACTGTCTGGGTTTAGCGTACTGTAGTAAGAATTTATGCACCTTTTTGCTGCGACGTTAGCGAGGACTGTGTGCACAAACACTGCGGATGGATGGTTTTCTGTAAGCACCCTTCTGCTCCCTGCTTTCCTGGTGGTGCTCTGGAGAGCTGGACTTTGGACCGAACGCAGGGCTGAAGTGCAGCTGGACTAGGAGACAGGCAGTGGGTGCCTCCAAGATGGGGTGCAGAGGGTGAGCTCTGCGCTAGCCAAGATTTCGGGGGGGTGGGCTTGGTCTTAGATCTTTCCTCCTCCTTAAGCATGCTGGGATTCAACACTGTAATTTATTGTCATTTACAGACCAAAATGCTTCTCCTTCCACATCAGTGAAGGACACCTTGTACAAGCTGTCTTTCTGCCTTCCCCTCTGTTCCTGCCTTAGATGCTTACTGGAGCTGTCACTATCTCACCTGTCCCAGTTTAGTGCCTGACATGAGGTGGGATGAGCTCAGGTGGAGATGTCCTCTGCGGGAGGAGGCATCCAGGGTCAGGATCACTGCTACAAGTATCATCTGTGCACGGCTTCTCACCAAAAGAATCTAAAACGAGGAAAGCACCTGGTACTCACAAGAAGTCTAACGTCCTGACAGAAAAAAGATGAGTGAGGCAACAGCTAGTGGAGATGATGTTTGATTTTCATTTACTCCATCAAACATGTCTAGCTAATGAGCATCCATATACATACTGTAAAAGAAATGCACTTTTTTGGGTGGTTCTTTTTTCCACTTTTTTGGTTTTTTGGCAACTTGACGCACATCCCCCATGTGCCGCCTTCTGCTCCAGTGCAAGTCATGGGTTCACCTATTGCATAGAAATGGGGCAGGCTTTGAAAGACAGTATGTTCTTCTAACCACATATACCCATGAGCAAAGGTGTTAATTACTCTTTGTCCTATTGTGAGGGGAAGGTGGAGTTTGGCCCTGGCAGCAGGGATGTCAGCTGCTGCCCAAGGTCATTTCCAAGCAGAAAAAAAGGGCTGTTTGAGGTGCGACTGCAGCGTGTGTGCTTGGAAGGGCTGGATGTTGGGCACCTAGAGACCCCGTGCTCTCTCTGCTGATGGATTTTGGGCAGGCTGTCCTCTGAATCCCAGCCTAACCTTCGGAAGGCCTGGGCTGTGCAGCAGGAGGTGAGATGACACCTGAGATCCGAGCACTGCGGTATTTTGTTAATGATTATAATGTTGTTAATAACGATCATCAGTAATGCTGTTTGCATTGCAGTAAAGCCCAGATGGCCCAATAAAAACCACCAGTGCTCCAGGGCAAACCACATCTTGGTGACTCGTTAACATCTTTTGATCACTTACCATAAAAAATACAAACTTCAGCTCTCACAGTTAGGGAATATATATCTCCCCGAGGTCCTGTGGTGGCTGTGTGTGTCTTTCACCATCAAAATAAGCTCTTGCATGTGTATAGGCAACAGGATCTTTAGAACTTGTGAAGCAAGCAGAGGGCCCAAAGAGGGAAGAATCATTTTCGTGCTCTGCGTACCATCTGTGCAAATGCAGAGAGAAACATCTGCTTTGCCGTCTGATCTGGCCGAGAGTGTAGCCAGAGCCGGGACAAGCATCGGGCTGATGGTATCTGGTGGGGAGCGGTGGTGGGGCTGGTCTCACTGCACTGTTCCTGTGTGAAAGGTGGCCATGGCTCCAGCAGGACAGGATGCTCTGCCCAGGGGAGGGGAGGGGGCCGGGGCAGGGTTTGCTTGGTGATGGAGTGATCGGCCTCCATACATGCGTGACAGCTGGTGAGACCTGCATCGTAAGGACTGGCTGAGGACACAGCTCACACGCACTCTCTCTTCTGAACCATTTGTAGGATTTTATGTGATTCTCTTCACTTTTCAATATGTTTTAAAAACAGACTGTGTCTCTGTTTTATATAAAGATTTAGGACCCATTTTTACATTTTATTTCTTTAAGTATTTGAGTTCCTGAGAGAGCGTTGTTGAACAGTGAGACTTCACACAGCTACACCCGTG